CCGGGGGGGCGCTGGGACCGGGCGGGGGGCGGGGGGCGGGGGGCGCTGCGCGGGAGCGCGCCTCACGGTGCGTCCTGGCCTCCCCGCACCTGCCCACTAGGCGTTGCCGTCTCGTTAGTTTTCGCTTGGGGCGTTTAGGTGGTGGGGATGGTGCCGGTGGAACTTACGCCGTATGCGCTTCTTGTCGCGAAAATGGCCTTGAAACAGTTTTTGTTCCTTTACCCCTTTTCTTAAAAAAAGGCTGAACTCCGAGCAGCTGTGTTTTTAGCACTAGAAGAGCAAGAAAAAGTAGAGGTATGAAATCGACAAATTTTAACATTACCGTATTCGTTTACTTTAATTTCTGATCACTTAGACGTTATTCTAAAATACTACGTACGTTAGGGTGTAGCCAAGGATGAGTTTGAACTACTAAGGATCACATTTTTTTTTTACTATTGGAAGAGAGGCAACCTTACTCTCTTTTTGTCTATATTTAGAATTTTGGAGTAGTCTAAAGAAAGGCAAGGTACGGTAGTGACCCTGGGGCCAGTAACAAATCTTTGGTGGCGCAGATGCCTTTCCATGAGGGAAATCTGGAAAACAAGGTCAGAGGGGCTCGGTGAGGAGAGGGTGCCGTTGTCGGTGAGTTTGCTGCGGCTCCTGCAGAACCTTCCATATGTCAGTCTGTGTTGTGAATGCCCACAGGTGGCGAGAACATAGTGCGTCACTTTTCTCAACTACCTGACCGCCCCGTTACTTTAAAACCATGTGCTCTTTGTCACTGTCAGACGTCCAGCCACTTCTCGATAGAAGTGCATTTACTTTTTTTTCTCTACCTCAAGTCTTCCCACCACTCTGAATAAATATCCTGGAGCTTGTCGGCAAGAATTACTCCATAATCAGGGTCTTCACCTTGCTCCTGCGACAAATCCGTCTAATCTCCTCCTCACTTCTTTTGACTTAGGGGTCTGCACCTCTTTAACTTCATGAAGTGCTTCCATTCTTGGCTCTTCTGTGTTTGTCCAGGTGTCAGTCTTCTCTCGGCTGCCCTCTGTTCTTCTCTTGTCTGGACCCTATGGCCCGTGTTTAAGAAACCCCAGCTTCCTTGCCTTCCAGCCATACTTGCTCTGGGAAAAACTGCAAACGTCGTTTAATTGAGCAGACTAACTCCCCTGCCTGCTCTTGCCGTGTCCGCGCCAGAGCAGTCACCCAGCACTGGATTGCTGCCCTGACTAGCTGGCGGGTCACACGCCTCAGCGAGGGTCTGAGCAGGCCGTGAGTCCTCTTCACGCACAACTCTCACTTCGCTGGGCTCTAGCCTTCTGCCTCTCCTGTCTGCTGACTGGCGGCAGCTGGCCTGCAGGGGCATCAGGTCCTGACCTGCGGGGTCTTCCCCTGCAGATCTGTCACTCAGCTCAGAAAAAGCTGCCCTGCATCTGTATGTATCTGTACCTCTTCCTTCCTGCTTTGGTGGAGGATTCTCTGTCTTGTCCAAGAATAGTCACTTTCTCTGGGTTTTGCCTTCCAGGTGCTCTCAGCTCCTCAACCATTTGCTGTGTCTTTGGCCTCTCCCTTGCTGTTGGTTCTTCTCTTGAGCATAGAAACGTGTTTGTATCTCTCTCAAGGAGAAAACTATTTTCCTTAACTCATGTTCTTTTAATACCACTCAGTTTTTTCCCCTCACAGTTGAATTTTGAAAGAATGTGTATGTCTTATTTCATATGTTCCAGGCACCCTTTAATACGTTAACATCTTAAATCCACTTAAATTCGCCTTAAATCTACTACATCTAAGGACTTCCCTTTGCTGGGGTCAGGAAGAATCTCCTTATTGAGTGTATTTTAGTTCTTACCTGTATTAGTTCTTAACTTAGTTGTTCTTTGTGGCATTTGACGTTCTTAATTCCTCCCTTCCTTCCTTTCTGAAAATCTCCCTTGATTTTTGGGACTTTGTTCTCTTTTTTCCTTTTGAGCACTCCTTGGTTTCTTTAGCGTGCTCTTTTTCCTCTACACCTGACTTAAATCCTTGGTGTATTTTCCGGTAGCTCTCATTCTGTGCTCTCTCCCTGGATGACCTTAATTATACCAGTAACTTGAGCCCTGTATCCTTGGTCCGTAGCGTGAGCCTCAGACCCATATGTGACCCTGCCTGCTGGACTGATCTTGCTTATGGGGACTGCTTTTTATCCAAGCAAGAAATCGGACGGTTGCCTGGACCTTGCTCCTCCTCTCCGCATCCAGTCGGTTGCCTGGTTCTGTCTGGCAGCTCTGTAGCTGAGATGTCTAAGGAGGTTCTCTGCTGCCCTCTTACTCTGTGCTGAGCTGTGTCTTTTGCAGGTGCTTTACCCCTTTCTTCTCTCCAGTCTCCCCTTTGCTTGTGTCCCTCACCATCTTCCCGAAGTCCTTTTTCTGCAGTGCTCCTGGTTTGGCTGTTTATAGTACACATCTGCTCTTGTTCCTCCATTTTCTTTAAATATTTCAGTTGACTCAGTGTCTTAAAATCTCCTAGACCAACCTACAGGAACTTTGTGATCTTTCTCTTCCTTGTCTTTTTTGGGTTTTTTAAAAACAACTTTATTGAGGTGCAATTGACCTGCAGTAAACTCGATTATACTTAAATGTACGGTGTGTTACATTTCAGCACATTTATGCAACCTTGAAACAGTCGATAGTGCACATATCCTTGACCCTTGAAAGCTTCTTCAAGCCCCTTTGTACCACCCTCCCCCACCACACACCCCAGGGCCACCCACGTATTTAAGAGCCATACATGTGGGATCCTGCCGCACAGACGCTCTTTTCTTCTTTGATCGGGCTGCATTCATTCGGCATAATGCATTTGAGATTTGTTCATATTGTCCTTTGTATTAATAGTTCATTCTGCCTTTCCCTGTGTAGTGTCTTTTGTATGGATATGTGACAGTTTGTTTAGTCATTCATCTGTTGATGAGCATTTGTCTTGTTTCCAGTTTTCTAGTATAAATAGGGCTTCTGTGAACATTCAAGTACATGTCTTTGCTTGGATCTCTGCTTTTATTTTGAGAAAATGCCTACAGATGGGTCATATGGTAGGGGTACTGACTTTTTAAAACTTTACAAACTACCTTCCAAAGTGATTGCACCATTTATTATCCCATCAGCAGAATATGAGACTGTCGTTACACCTATAATTCATTCAGTCTGCTTAAAGAAGCTTGAGTGAGCTAGAAGTGTTTTTTCTGTATTTATTCAAATAGACATCTAATGGCAAAAATAAGTTGGCCTATGCACTACACAAAATCATGTCACATACTGCTGATGAGCTGCAAATAACAAGTGTGTAATTTGAGTCCTTGCTCACAGAAGCATGCTATAAATGGTAGACATCTATGATGACAAAATGTCAACATGTATTTAGAATAATAAACAGTTGTTTTTGTAAGTAAATGTATTGCCATTTCACATGAGTATCTGAAGATTTAGCTTCTAAAGTAGTTTAATAAACAATTTGTGGCATATTTAAAAATTAAAAATAAATACAAGTTTTCATGTGTGGTTTCATTTTATTAGCTTTGAGATATTAAATGGCATGAAAGAATTCCTGTAGTAATCAATAGTTGTGGAGTGGGTTTAACCATAATTTTATGAGTGACCATATTTTACTTCCAGCTCTGCCAAAAAAACTTTAAACCACATTTTGTAGTTGTTTTTAGGATAAATGCATGACATAATATTTCATTTTTTAACAGAACAAAACTCCTCTAGTCAATGAGAGCCTGAGAAAGTTTTTAAATACGAAAGATGGTAAGATGTTCAGTTTGTTCTTGTTTATTTTGTCTGTCTGAATTTTCAAATGTTGACTCTATTTAGGAGAGATGAGGAGTTTCAGATTTTTTTTTTAAGATATTTGAGAGAGCGAGCACATGAGGAGGGGTTGGGGGGGACAAGGGAGAGGGAGAAGCAGACTCCCCTCCCTGAGCAGGGAGCCTGACCCAGGGCTCGATTCCGGGACCCTGAGATCATGATCTGGAGCCAAAGGCAGACACTTAACCAACTGAGCCACCCAGGCGCCTCAAGGAGTTTCAGATATTTTTTGAAGTCTGTGATTCTTACAGGTTCTCATTTTAAAAATCGTATTTTAGTGTACAACTGTTAAGCTGTTTTGAATATTCTTGGTCACGGGAAATTGTTGGTTAAAACCAATTTTACATAAGCAGAATATTCTAATCCATTTGTGAAATGTCATGTTGTTTTATTAATAGTTAGTTTCAAACCGATGATCCTAATGAAAACACGAGACTGAGATTTTCATTACTGGTGTTCTTCAAAGATAAATTTATAATTTAAATTTAGAAACCTCATTTCTTCAGTTAATTAACCTTACTCCGTGGTGTTAGTGCAGGGGCTTCAGGGCTCCCGCAGGTGTGCTCACCGCCTCTCTCACGTTTCGCAGGCCGGCTGGTGGCTAGTCTTGTTGCAGAGTTTCTCCAGTTTTTCAATCTTGACTTCACTTTGGCCGTTTTTCAGCCTGAAACCAGCACAGTAAGAGTCATGAATTTTTTACATCTATCCTTTGAAACCATCCTTGGTACAAATGAGTTCATTATAACCTGAAACTTAACAACCTTTGATGCTTTATAGGGTCTTGCATATAGATTATTTTTTGTAGTTGATTATCTTTTTCTTAAAAGCCATCTGAGCTGTAGATAGCTGGTACCCATGCTGCTTCGTAGAACTTTGAAAGGAGTGTTTTGTAGAATTAATTTGTTCTGATGTCAGATACATCCATTTTTGGATGTAGAGACATGGTTAAAAGAAGTATATAATTTTTTTAAACGGGCATTTTATTCATTAGAAAAATGATCTCTCTGTGTTTAGAGATATCTTTAAGTCCCCAAAATATTTTTCTTTAATCTCTGCAAATAATCTGCATACTTCTGTGCATTTATACCTGACTTGTTATATCTTACCTCTTCTCTAGTTTCAAGGTCTTGAAGGTCGAGAGAATTTAGCCCGAGATCTAGGTATTATTGAAGCAGAAGGTACTGTGGGTGGACCTTTATTATTAGAAGTGATCAGACGTTGTCAACAGAAAGAAAAAGGGCCAACCAATGGGGAGGTAAGTATAACTCTAGCCTCTGTTACCTTTTTCCATTTTAACTATTGGCTACTCAGTGTAGCCACGCAGAGTTTTGCATACATAGTGAATCAGAGTTTAAATGGAAAGAAGCTATTCCTTAAAAACAAAACAAAACACAGTCAGATCATATAAACGCACATTTTGATGAAAATTGGACACGTGGCAGCTGAGTCTGGTGCCGCGCTTGTTCTGCAGATGGGCGCCTGGGCATCAGGGTCAGGGGTCCGGCTGTGTGGAACCGGCCGCCGCTCCTCCACTGATTGGCCGGCTTCGGACGTGGAGGGCCCTCCCCGGCTCCCCCTGTGCAGCATGGGGAGAGCGGGCCGCCTCGCGGCCATTGTGAGGCCTGAGGCACGGGTTGGTGCTTGTCAAGTGCGGAGAACATTCGTTAGTCGTAGTCTTGTTACCATTTTAAACAGAACAGGGTTGAATTAGAGGCTACTTAATAATTTTTTGAACTTAAGGCTTTTTAAAAGCTGTTTAAGCTGTTGATTGTGCTTAGTTTCTAAACATTTTCAAACTTCTGTTTTCTTGATTAGCTACTGCTTTTCTTACTCCTTTTTAGAGATCTGCTAATGAGATTAAGTTTGATTCCTAGTTACTAGTTACAGATGTTAGTTTTACATAGAGATACCGTTTCACAGACATGGACCGTGTGGTAGCTGTCTCAGACACCCGGTTAAATGTGTGCTTTTAGTCACTGGTTTATAAGTAAGAATGTGGAGGGGAGTCTCAGAGCACGTTTTCTATTAGAATCTTTGAAATCAGGAGAGCCTGCGTGAGCACCTGTTGCATATAGGGCATAACAAATGGGTGCTTTGAATGAAAAGATAAAACAGACAGTTTCATGAACTAGAAGAATTGAGAGTTATTAAAGATAAAATGTGTTCCCATAAGGAAATGGACGTGTGAGTGATGGCTTATGATAACGCAGTGTATAGTAAATGGTTAGTACCACACATTTTAGGAGTCAAATCAGTTTTAGTTAAAGGGTTTTTCAAGTGGAAATTTTGTTAAACTCGCTCTTAATGTGAGAGTAGAGGAGAGGACTGGGAAGCTGTTCTAAGGCGGCTATGGGGAGCTGGGGCCAGGAGCGGGGTGCCGCGGCTGGGAGCTGGGGCGGGGCGCTGGGGTAGGGTGCTGGAGTGGGAAGCAGGGGTGGGGTATGCTGCAACAGGGGTGGGGCCCTGGGGTGAGAAGGGGGCGCTGCAGCGGAAAGTGGGCCATGGCGGGGGCGCTGCAGCAGCTCTTGGGTTCAGCTGTCTGAGGTGCTGGTGGCCCTTGTTCTCTGGTGTGCTCTCCCTTGGCTCACAAGCGTGAGCGTGGGCTCTGAGCTAGGATGCTTGGGGTCATGTCCCAGCTCCGCCATGTCCTGTGTGTGACTCTCTGAAGACACTTAACCTCCACGTGCTTTAGGTTCCTCACTCATGAAATGGGGGTGATGGAAGTAACAGCCTTGCTGGTGGTGGTGAGAACTGAGGGGAGTCAGGGTAGCTTCGGCAACAGTGCTTCGCAAGTAGGGATCTGCGAGCGTTTGCCTTCATCATCATCGTGTGTCGTTTTGTTCTTGTTACGGTTTGATGACTCCCTCTGTCCAGCTCAGTCCTTTCCCCAGCGTGAAACCAGAATCTCCAGCTCTTCCCCACACATACCCCTTGTTTAACTCGCGAACACATTTGAATCCTGTGTGAAAAAACAGACTTCACTCTAACAAAGCGGAAGTCGCAAAAGGTGAAAAATATGTGTCCTCGCAGATAACCACCCAGTTCCAGTTCTTGCTCCAGATTTCTCTGTTTGTGTTGATTGTGCTCCTGGGACTCCTCGGTTTCAATGCAAGGAGCTGCCTTTCTGTGCCCTCGGTTCGCTCCTTCTGGCAGGAAGGAGTCTCTCTCCCGCCTGTCCCAGCAGCACGCGTGGAAGGAAGAAAGCTTAATTACTGGAAAACTCTGTTTGCTGCTAAACAGGGCGTCTACCTCAAACTGAGACCCAGTCAGAGGTTTCTTGTCTAGTTGGGTGGATTTGAAAATGAAAACTCAATAAATATGTTCTTTATATGTCTTTCAGACTGGTGGATCCGAAGCCTCCCCAGTCAGCTTACCCTGTTTTAGAGCTGGGTTTCTGTCAGACGAACACAGGAGAAGATTTTTGTAGCTTCAAGAGGTCATTGTTTTACTTCTTTAAAGTTTGAAACCATTATGAAATACCCACTCTTGGCTACTTTTCCCCTCTTCATATTGGGACATGTCATTTTCATTGGTTGTGTGTATATGTATACACACATAAATCAGTGGTCAAATTCATACTTAAAATAGGGAACTCACAGGTGTCCAATTTGGCTTTTCCATCTTCACTAGTGTTTATAACTTTGAGAAGAAACCTGTCCTTAGGTTTTATTAACCTTTGACTTCTGATGCTGGGGAAGAAAACCAGCTGTGGATTCAGCCCACTGGACTCAGTGATGCTTTTACCAACAGTGCGTTTTCAAACCACCTTAAGAATCAGGTTGCTATGCCCCACGTCCTTGACCATGACTTTGAGTTGATTTTGCAGGGTGTGGGGTGTCCCCTAGCGTGGAGGGTCACAGCGCTTGGTTGTTGGCTGTGCTGCCCCGGGTGAGCCCCTACCTCCCCGCGAGCACCTTGCGGTTCGCTCCGGTCCTGCTCCCCAGCACACGCCTGCGGGCACTGTCCACAATCGGTCTGCATCCCTCGTGCTTGTTGACTTCATTTTAAGGTTCAGCCCTTTATCTGTTCCTTTCCACTTTAAAAATTGAAATCACTGTGTAATGGCAACTAGATAGTTTACAGATTCCTCAGCCTTGACGTTAAGATCCTGTGTGATGCGCTGCCTACTCATCTTTCTAGCCTTAGGCCTTTTTTTGAAATGCGGAACCTTGTGCTTCAGCCAGGCTTCTTATACTTGGAAGTGGCTTTTGCTTTCTTGCCTTTCCCTCATCTGCTCTCCACCTGAAACAGTGCATCATCCCCGTACCCGGCTGTGGAAGGTTGTCATTCACGGTCTCTCTCTCCCACTCTGCCTTCTGGGATGTTTCTTCTTGTTTTTCCCCTCTTTCTGCTGGCAGCTGTTGTAACTGAGTGCCTGGCGCTGCGTGGGTGTGGCAGCCCCCTGTGGTTGCCCATCCATCCCCACGTCTTCCCTTGGCTGGGGACAAGGGGCTTGGGCTCACCTTTGTATCCTTTGCAGGGTCCAACCCAACAGGGGTTCTTCTTCTTCTTCTTCTTCTTTTTTTTTTTTTTTTTTAAGATTTATTTATTTTAGAGAAAGCGCACATGGTGGGGAGGGGCAGAGGGAGAAAGAATCTGAAGCAGACTCTCGGCTGAGTGCAGAGCCCCGAGAAGGGGCTAGATCCCATGACCTGAGCCGAAACCAAGAGTTAGACGCTCAGCCACTGAGCCACCCAAGTGCCCCCCAGTGGGGATTCTTCACAGGTAATGTGTTCAAGGTCAGTGGGAAGCTTTTGCAGACTTTTGTACGGAGGAAGTACTTGTTTGGAAGATGAATTTGTGAAGGTTAGATGGTGAACTTGGGAGAAGTTCAAAGACTGGGAGAAGTGAAATCCACTAGAAGGCACATTTAGACACAGGAATGATTGTGGCAGTAAATGCAGAAGCAAATGGGCAGGTAAAGGTTCCCCTTTAAAGGAAGAAGCAATAGGACTTGGTAAATTAACATTACGGCAGAGGGTTAAGGTCTCAGAGGGTATATGGGAAGAAGAACAATTGGCAAAGGTGAAAGAGGTTTTCAGCCTGGGAGAAGATGATGCCATACCAGAAGTCACGCTGCTCGAGGGAGGAGCAGAAGGTATGACGAGCAGCACATTGTCATATTTAAAGAGCTGTAGTCATCGGTAGGATTTTTAATAGCAAAATAACCAACATTTAATATGCACATAGTGCACAGAGCTGCTAATGATGTAGTGGATGAATTTTAGGTCATTTCCATTCTATTCCATTCACTATGCGTTTAGCATAGCTCTGAGAAGTGACCAGCGGGTGCCCTGAACGTGGTGGTTTCGTGATGCTGCAGTGCCCTGCGGTGGCCATGCGGTGCGGTTCGGTCCCGTGCGGCACGGTCCGGTGCGATGCTGTGTGGTGCGGTGGCCGTGCAGTTCGGTGGCGTGGCCAGACAAGCCCCTGTGCTCTAAGAGATGAGAGAGTGGCATGAGCGTGCAGAGGAGGAAGGGGAGTGTGGTCCTTTGAAGAGGGGGACGTGTCTTTGGAGAGCCGCTGTTTGATGTCCTGGAGACAGAGTGAAGGAGGCAGCGAGCCCGGAGAGGGTGGAAGAGTAGATGTGTGCAAATCCCAGGGCAGGGCTGGGGCAGACCGCCCGGTGCCGAGCGAGGGCCGCGGCTGAGCGGCCTGTTCAAGGTGACTGGGTCAAATACTTAGGTAATTAGGATCTAAGTGTGTTTTGTTTTGTTTTTGTTTGAGTAAAATTGGGGAAAATCTAATAAGAATATTTACATAATTTAGAAAGAGTTAAAAACATCAGTATTGTGTAGTGGTTTTAAATGCTAAAATGCTGTTGAGGCTTAATAGTATATTTATGTTTTATTTTAAACTAGGTTTTAATCTTAAACTGTGAAATATTTTAGGGTGCACTAGATCTATCTGATGTACATTCTCCACCAAAGTCACCAGAAGGCAAAGCAAGTGCTCACAGCAGTCCCAGTAAGGTGAGTAGGCCACGGGTACGAGGACTTCTGCACTCAGACTCCACGGGGCTCTGCTTTCCTCACCCTTGCCCTCTGTGTTCCAGGTTTTGTTTTGTAATGAAAGTGCTGTGTAGTTTCTTGAAACTGCTTTTCTCCCTTAATGAAGCATATATTTATAACAGTTATTTCAGTTTGTTGGTAGTGTTTTGAATTTTGGGTCGTAGAAAGGAGTGCACTACTGAATCACAGAATTATGAGAAATTTGGACTCATTTGGTACTTTGAAAATTTTCTTCCTCAGTTGATAAGAGGATTTACTTTTCATTTATAAATCCCTAGCTTGAGGGTACTAGGTTCCAGACTGTTGTTCCAGAACACTGTGGTGTTGAATATTGTAGATGGATGACCAGTTTAGAATTGTAAATTATAGTGTTTTTTTTTATATTAATGAGCTATTTTGAGGATTTTTAAGAAAATACATGTGCCCTGGGTGTGTGTGTGTGTGTGTGTGTGTGTGTGTGTGTGTGTGTGTGTGTGGTTTATGGGTTGTTAAAGTTAAGGCACATTGATTGCCGGGATCTGGCATACTGGAGAAAAATGCTGAGTGGAGCGCTGGAATTTCAAGTCCAGGATCACAGGAACGGGCAGAACACGATTCTTAGGGGGTGTGTTGTCTTGGGACTGGTTGCAGCGTCCTGTGTGTTGGTAGAACCAACCGGTTGTACCCAAGGACGGGTTTGGGTCAGGTTGTGCCATGACGGTCGCTGTGACTGCCATTTTGCAGGATGAGGGTGATGCCCTGGAGCATGATGGTGTTGCACTGACTTGTGGGCACAGTGGTACCTCTTCAATTAGGTGGCTTCTAGAGGGTTTCTCTCTCAGATGCCTGGGCTCAGACACCAATGAGTGGTTCCTGTTGTTTTGCTGCTGCGTCTTTATGGTGTTGCTCCTTTTCATTTTTCTCCATTTGGAAATCAAAGGATTTTATGTTTTATTTGCAGCGGAGGGAAGAGACCCTCGTGCTGTGTGTAGGTGTCCCTTCTCTCTGAGCTCTAGTTAGCCTTCACTGTGGGGAGGGGTTTCCCTTGATGCTCATGGGAGGCTGTCACCATGGTTACAGAGAGATCAAGGTTGTGAGTCAATGTAAAAATCCCTTTAAATGAATTGTCAGATGTAGGAGCCTTGGTAAAAAAGCTTTGCTTTCTGTGAACATGTCTGGCTGTGAAGGGGTTAAAATTAATGCATATTCCACAATATCAGTACCTATAGAATTGAGCTGTTTGGAAGTTCTCTTTTTAGCCAGTTATTATTTTGTAAAGCAGATTAGCAACACGAACCTTCTACATGTGGTGTGTCTTCATGATAACAGATTAAAGTCTTTGACGTATTTTCTCTGCACAAATTTTATTTTCAAGATCTAAGAATTATGATGAGAATCTTTTAAGTCAGTTAGGAAATGTTGCCTTAAATATAGAGAAGTGCCAGTAGTTACCAAGGTGGGTTTGGAGAGCAGTAAGCTGTCCTCCAGCTGTCCCCTCGCGCTTGCTGCCTCCTGTCGGCTCCCCGTGCGGCGGGGAGGCCTGTGGGGCAGTGGCCGTGTCCGCAGGGCCGTGGCTGACTCGTGTCAAGAGGAGGCCTCCTGATGGCAGGTGAGCTGCAGTTTCCTGTAGTTCTGAGGATGTGGATTTGGGATTTCAGCATTTTCCCCACCTTTTTCTTGCCAGCTCTCTTGTCTCACCCAGTGGTCTTTGAATCATCTTGGGCTCTCGGGGTACCTCATCAGGCTGCATGCCACGGAGAGCACTTGGGGCTCTGGGGCTGTGGGACGTTGTGGCCAAGCCAAGGGTCCTGCCCGACCCGCAGGGACCCGCTTTGTGTGCTCCCGAGCAAGGCGAGGCCGGGGCCGCTCTTCGGGGAGGCTGCTCTGGAGGCCGGGCCTGGCTTTGCCGCGGAGCGCCCACCGAGGTGTGGTTCTGCACAAGGCTGCCGCGGGGCGGGGGGCGGCGTGGGCCCCAGGCAGTGGGCCCCAGGCACTGCGAGGCACGGTATTTACGCGCAGGGTGAACCACTGCAGGAGAAGAGAATTAAGGAACGAGAAAAAAAATGTGGGTTTTAGAAAGGAACATAGATTAGGTTTTCCATTCTTAAGAGCTTTTCTTTTTTTTTCCTTTTAAAGGTTTTATTTATTTATTTGACAGAGAGAGAGAGAGAGAATAAGGGGGAGCGGCAGGCAGAGGGAGAAGCAGGCTCCCCGCTGAGCAGGGAGCCCGATGCGGGACTCGATCCCAGGACCCTGAGATCAGGACCTGAGCTGAAGGCAGAGGCTTCACTGCCTGAGCCACCCAGGCGCCCCCTTGAGAGCTTTTCTAATAGGAAACTTTATTAGTTTGGTTATGGATTAGTTTCTTTGTAAAGATTTATACGTTTTGGTAAAATGTCATTTCATTCTCATGCTCAGATACCGAGGTATAAAGGACAAGGTAAGAAGAAGACAAGCGGGCGGAAGCCTGGCGCCAAGGTAACACGCGTGAGGGCGGGGGGCGGCCTCTGCGGCAGGCCGCCGGCTCTGCGGCTCCTAGCGGCACGGGGTCCCTGTCGGCCCAGGGCTCCGTCTTCTGTGCCGGTGCCGGTGTCGCTGTCCTCCAGCTGTAATCAGAATATGATCAAGTCATGGGGCGGAAAACAAAAAGTAATTTGACTTTCCGATTTTTATCCAGGTGAAAATCATACTGTTGGATTTTAAAAATGTGCTGTCAGTTTTACTTTTGAGAATTCCTTGTTTTGTTGGCAATAAAGTTGAAAATATTTTCCTTTTGAATGGATGGTCATATACATTTTCTTAACGTTATGATTTTTATCTGAGGTAAATAGAGTATCAAACTACTTTTTGGGTAAGTGTCAATTGATAAAGGCTAAACTTAATTTCCTTCAAGACATTTTTTTTTTGTGTTGAGCGTTCGGCAGTGTCTCAGACCATCGCACATCGGTTAGCCCTCCCCGGAAGCCCTGGCTCACAGGAGACCCGTGGGGACACGCAGGGCCGGGCGAGCTGAATCTGCAGTGATGGGGCCTTGGCTGGTTTTTTTTTTCCTCCCCAAATCATGACAGAAATCGACTAAGCCAGTAGATGAGCTGATTTTAAAATTTAAGTATTACAGGTCTTAGAAGCACCACTCGTCAGTATACGTCTCACATTTGTTCAGAATAAGATACTTAAGATATTTAATTTTTAGTGCTGTAAGAATCTTCAGTTCTTGTTGAACCTTAGGTTATGTATAGATTATTGAAGTTCTTCAAAATTAAAGGGTTTTTAAAAATTGTATCTGCTGTCTTAGCGGGCTTTGGTTGTAGTGGTTTCACTGGTAGATTCCCATTATTCTATTTGTGACATTATTTTTATGTGTTACTACACGAGAAGACAATTTAGAGCATTAATTAGCAAGTATGTGTGACCAGTTACCTGGTGGGAGTTGCTGTGTGAAGGGCTGCGGTCACAGATTCATTGTGGGCCCCCCTGCGGCAGGTGACAGTCTGATTGGAGCGGTGAGACCCACCTTAAGAAAGATGACTACGAAAATAAAACAGCATATTTTTAAAGATACTTTTAATCAATTTCTTGGACTTTTTGAGAAAGTTAAAAGCATATTTCCCATAGTATTAAGTTTTTATCATTTATTGGTTAAAACATTTTGAAGTCTATACATTGTCTAAATCAAAGCACATTAAAAGACGAATTTTCACTTTTCACTTCTCACCACGCCGCCGTGGTGCCTCAGCAGATCGCCAGCTCTGCAGCGGGCAGGCCTCGGGGGCTCCCCTGACCTCGGGGGTGACTGAGGAATCCAGAAGAGCCCCTGCCCGGCAATTGTGGGCTCTCTGGCCCCTTTTATTTCATTTTTTGTATTCTTGACGCAAGATACTTAGTCACTTTGAAACCTTTTTTTCCCCTCTACTTCCTTGATTTTTTTTCCTGAATTGCCTTTCTAAGTCGGTATTATACCCAACATTGCCTGTTTTCCAGCCTGGCAGGTGAGCCCGTGGCTCTTCATTCCTCAGCTTTTCTTCTTTGCCTCATGCATGCAGTAGGTTTGCAGATCCTTAATATCCTAACATTCTTAACATCTTAATATTTGAATGCCAAGCTGCATGTGGTCACTGAGGTACGCAGCAAGGCTCCCGGGGGAGCTAGGTGGCATTTCCCAGTTGTGCAGAGCTCTAAGTGGTAGTAACCCTGCCCGCCATGAGCCAGGTGAAGGGACCATGAGCGGGGCAGCAGGAGAGCCCAGGACATTGAACAAGAACTGTTGATGTGTCTTGTTACTTCTTTTGCATACAGGAAGGCACAGTATTAATGGCTCATTCAGAGATCCTTGACGGCTTTCAGAGAAGTTATATTCATATTAGAAATGAACTTTAAAGATCATTCGTATATGTATATATACATGTGCGTGTGTGTGTGTGTGTGTAAATAATTGATTTGTACTTGCTGTTATAAACCTGTCAAAGTGCAGAGCAAAATATAGGGCTTTTGAAGGAATTTAAGTTGGGTGCAAATAAAAGTTTTTGTTACTGTTGTGAGACAGTAAAGGATGGATGGGAGAATTGGAATACTCGGTGGTGAAGTATTTGGTGGGAGGGCGTTTATTTAAACATTCCACGTCTATATTAATACTTACTTCCAAGGAATCTTCCATAATAGTCTATTTCAGTGTAAACCCTTTTGTTCTACCAAACCTGGTGCTAGTTGTCTGAGGAAAAAAAATGCATATCAAAAATGATAACAGACTTTTGATAGGTTCTACTAATTTAGGTTTGTTATTTAAGATGTTAGATGTTTTTTGTTTGTAATATTTAGATTAAGATGCTTTTCATCACTGCATTAAGTAATAGGAAAGGTCATCCTTTTTGTAATCAGTTCTCAGGTGTTTTAAAACTAGTGTGTGTTGAGGTATTTTTTGCTTCAAGTTCCTCTAAAAGGACTTTTTAAATTTGTTATTCCTTGTTTTCAAAATTCTGGGGTAAGCTGATTAAGGGCAGTGATGACGACCACAATGTACGTATGTTTGGGGGTGGGAGGGCAGGCATATTTGTGGGTCTCTTCAGTCTAGACAGGACTTTCTAGGCAAACCAAGCACTGTCATTCCCTTACACACACATGCACGCTCTCTCTCTCTCCGGGATGGATGAACACACTTGGGTGAACAGCATTCCCAACCCTTCGCCCTCGTGCCTGGCTGCCTGGCCAGCTCCGCGTTTCCGGCTGCTTCAGATCTGAGACTGGGCAGCGGGCATTCTGCGCTGGCCCCCAGGCTGCTGGCTGGATTGGGTGATGGAGCGGAGCATCTGTGCAGAGGGTCATTTTCAAGTCCTGTGTCAGAGCCAGAGATACGATGCATCTACAGGAATTACAGGTAGTCTCTAGAGCGTATAGACAGAGGTTTTCTAGAAACACTGAGTTTTTAGAGGAGTTTAAATGTTTGTTTTCTGGTTCTAGAATCCTACAGTGTTTATGTTCTAGGTGAATAAGTTTTAAATATATGTGTGTTACAGCTGTGGTAGAATTGTTTAAATCATGGGTCAAGAACCCGCCTTTGGTGGGGTGGGAGAGGAGAGCTGGGGCCTTGAGGTGTGGGTGGGGAAGGGAATTAATACCCATGCATTTTTTAAATACTTTTGCAAAACTGGGGTATTTCTTTAGCTTTGATGTTTCTCTGTTATGAGCTTGGAAAAACAAATTTATTTTTTTTTTAGGTTCTTAAGATGCTCTAGCGATAATTCATGTTTTGGCTCCTGGGAAATTTGTAGTTGTTTTCACTGTGAAACTTCTTTCTCTGTGAGGCTCGTTTTCTGTTA